ACATATTTTGCGTTCATCTCTTACCGCGAAATCCTCTTAGCATCTTGAGGGCATATATCCACCGAATGACCGCTTCAGGTCTGGCCGACGCAGAGCACGTCAGCGTGACGTTTCCTCCTAACGGCGCGGTGATGTTGATAACCGGAGCACTGACCACTGGCTTCACACACGTCTTTAGGTCCACCTCATGAAAAAACTTCCCTGCCTTCAATTCAGGGCTAGAACACGTCAAATAAGAGTTCATAAGAATAAACGGCGGGGTTAACGATTTAATAAACTCGATGAAGCCTCCCAGCCGACAGTCACACAGCCACGGGTTGTCATGAAGCGCCAGAACAACATTGGATGCTGACGGCTTTTCGTGCTTGTTTTCCGAATGATAAAGAGGCCAGTTGAGAAAGACGTCTTTAGATATGACTGATAGTTGATTTGAGGACAGGTCTAAATAGGTCAGTCCTGGTAAAAACTTGAGCGCGTGTTCGGGAAGGGCGTCGATGCGGTTGTGTTTCAGGTCCAAGATCTTGAGGTTTGGCGTCTCCTCGAACGCGGTCCACGGTACTGAACGCAGCTTGTTTCCTTGCAGCCGGAGCTCCGTCAGGTTAGCCAGACCTTCCAGACTTTTGATGTTTATTATGGCAATGTCATTGAAATTTAACCAGAGATGTTTTAGGGCCTTGACATGGGAAAACACAGCCTTCGGTAGTTCACTTAGTTGTGATTTCTCAATCCGTATTTTTGTCAAATCTTCCGGTAGACCGTCAGGAATCCCGGTTAGAGCTGTTTCCATACATGTGAGTGACCTATAAAAAGATTAAGTGCTTTTTAGTGGATGTTGATGTACAAATTCTTTAGAAAAAAGTCTGTATTGAGATTATTATCTATTAATAAATACAACATTGGAACGTTTTAAAGCTATTAAGCAAACTGAATGTTCCATCATGATCATTTAGCAGCCTGTACATTTTACGTAAAGAATTGTTTTTTATTTTTTTATTTTATTGTTTTTTATGGAATAAATGTCGGAATAAACTCTAAATTAAATAAAGTAACATGTTTTTAAAATAAATAATAATAAAATAATAAAATATATTTAAAACAAATTATTGTCATCAACCACCTATCCTGGCAATGATGTTCTTGTTTTTTCTATTTCCAATATGATCAGATAACAACATTTTCTATTTCTATATAAATTAAATATTGGGATAACCTTTGTTTATTTTGTTTGCTTGTGTCTATATTTGTGTATTGCATTGTATGTTAGGCTCTAAATTTAAAAAAAAATATAAATTCAACAAAAATAATTATTTAAAATAAAATATTGTATGTATTTTCCATGATAGGTAGGCATAATTAATAAAAATTGATGAAGCTACTCTCAGCTACACTTAAAAAGTTAAAATTAACAACATCAAGTTGTCCTAACAGACATTTTTTTAGTTTCAACATGACCAAAAAGCAGCATTTAAAAAAAATGCTTTGCATCTCTGTAATGACAGTATAATGAATGATGATTTTTTTTAAAGCAAATTGACAGTTAAAAAAAGTTCCTCATTGGCATCAGTGGTTCTATGAATTCTTTTCCATTGCTTAAATGGTTCTTTATAGAGGAAAATGAAAATGTTTAAACAAATAAAAAATAATAATTTCAAAATTGATCGCTGAAAGGTTTTTGTGTGGAACCAAGAAAGATTAGTAATAGTCTCATTGCTTGGAAAACTTACTTTTGGAAGCTTTGTTTAAGGGTTTAATTATAAAATCATTCAAGAATCAATATTAATATATTTTTAACTGTTTTAATAATTTTCTTTATAACATCATGGGCAGAGTATTCTAAAGGCACACACACATATTTACAGACTTCGGCTTTCACATTGTGCCCTGTTCCAAAACAACAACCACCATCTTTGCTCAATGACACTACTCATCTACAGTATGCTATCACTAAAACAAACTGAAACTAACCTCCCATGACGGTCAGTCCCACAGGAGCATCCTGGAAAACACTCTGAGCTGATATGACTAATCAAAATACAGAAAACAATCAAGTGAAATAAAACACAGACATCCATGGTCTCCTATAAATGGTATATCCGCTCTGTGTCCGTGCAAGACATGACTGCAGGTAGAGTTCAGTAAAGCCTATTAGCTGTAATCCTTGACGTACCTCGTGAGACACTGTTTGCAACTTAATTGTTGGACTGACCTATTAATTTTGACCTAGACTGTAAAAGTAAAATACTTGTGCAAATATTGTACAATTTAAAATTAAATTATTACAAAAATCAGAGTTAGGGGCAACTTCAAAAGTGAAAATATTTTTGTTTTATACGCTGTAAAAAAATATCTGTTAATTAACAGTTTTTGTGTTTTTCCATTTATTTACAGTTGTGAATTGCATTATATGGCGACGCTGTGGTGCAGTGGGTGTCACCGTCGCCTCACATCAAGAAGGTCGCTGGTTTGAGCCTCGGCAGTTGGCATTTCTGTGTGGAGTTTGCATGTTCTCTCCATGTTCGCGTAGGTTTCTTCAAGTTGCTCCGGTTTCCCCCACAGTCCAAAGACATGAGCTATAGGTGAATTGGGTGAGCTAAAATTGTCTGAAGTGTATGTGTGTGAATAAGAGTGTATGGGTGTTTCCCAGTAATGCAGGGTTGCAGCTAGAAGGGCATCTGCTACGTAAAACATATGCTGGATAAGTTAGCAGTTCGTTCCGCTGTGGCAGATGAATGAATGAGTGAACAAATTGCCTTATGGGACCTTGCTCTCTGCTCTAGACTTTTAATGTTTCAAATTAAATTCTACGGTTTAACAAAGTGGCTTTTGTTGACATTTTAGAAATAACTAAATTAAATTGAAATAATATAGTGTATCAGCAATAATATACAGTCAGATCTCTTGTTTCTACCTTCTAATGTACAGCTTTTTTGTTTATGTATCTTCTGTTTATGTATCTCATGATGTAATAGTTATTTAATTGTACTTTTTTATTTATTTTTATATTATTTATCTCTACTCTTTATTTGGATTAACATTATTCTTGTTTTTTACAGCAATATTATATATATATATATATATATATATATATATATATATATATATATATATATATATATATATATAGAAAATGAAAATTTTTCTCAACCTCCTTTTTTATGTTGAGAAATTTCGCTTTAAAGAACAGGAAAGGACTTATTTTTGCCATGAAAGTGATATTACTCAACATACACACAGGAGCCTGATAAAATGCTAATTTTAGAGTAAAATTTCAGATGGCATTTAGAGGTTTTTGCATCTGAACTTTTTATATAGTACTTAGTATACCCAGTACACCCCTTACAAATCTATCTTTTAAATTAATATTTTTAAAGGAAGCTATACAATATTATATTTGTGCATATACATTAGATTAGTCCGTACTGTAGCCAAATCTGAAGCTTATCTAACAGAATAACTTATGATAACGGTCCAAAAACTAGTACAGCCAAATTTAGATGTTAGAAAAATATTAAATACTAATTTTTAAAAACTGGGAAATCAGGAAAAGCAAAAACATTGAAAAATTTAGTTGCAATTTTGTAGTTTGGAATTTATTTTTTAATATTTTGCTTGAATTTATTTGTATTTTCTTTCAATTTCAAAATATGTTTGGTGTATTTATTAAATCTGTTTTGTTTAAACAAACCAAAATACATTGCCTATATTCACTGAGAAATGGATAAAAAAATTTCAAAATGGGGTGTACTCAATTATGCTAAGCACTGTGTTTTATTTTGTATATTTTGTATATTTGTGTGCGTGCATGCGTGTGTGCGTGTGTGTGTGTGTGTGTGTGTATATAAAATATATGAAACAGAAATCTGCATTTTATTCATAGTAGTGTTACACTAGACTCATCATACTTTGTTAAAAGAGTAACTACACTTTCAAAAATAAAGATTCTTGTTTGCATCTTTGGTCCCAAGAAGAAGGTTTAAGACCACATGCTGGCTTTATTGGATGAACAGATTTATTTTAGGTCTTTATTCTGATCAGTAAACAATGTTTGCTGTAGTCAAATTATTCAAGCGGTCTTGCTTGACACAAGAACTAATGAAGTTTATTTTTTGCATGTCACATCAGAATGTTTGAGCATCCAGGGACCAATGAGGTTTGTTTTTTTTTGGTTGAGCTTTTCTATGTTTGTTGATCAGTGTTTACACGTGAATAAAAGCCTAAATAAAATCTGTTCATCCTATAAAGGGATCACATCTCTTCAGAAGTCTTGGATTAGATCGCTTGTTTGTTTGTTTTTTAGCATTTTTTTTTTTTTTTAGAAAAGCATTTTAAGACATTGGTTCATGGTGAATAGACTTTCAATCGAGGTGCAGAAATTTCTTAAATTTCTTCATTTGTGTTCTATATAGGGAGACCAGTTTTTCCTTGGACAGTCTCATATTTCAACTGTATTTTAGCTTAGAGTCAACAGGAAAAAATTGAAGAGTTCAGATGCAAAAACCTCTAAGTGCTGTCTGAAACTTTCCTCTAAAATCTGTTTTTCTCAGCCTCCTAAGTTAATGTTTAGTTATTTCACTTTAAATGCAATGAAAAAAACCTATTCTTTGCACTAAGGGTAAAATTATTGAAACTACACTGAAAAAAAAATACAACTTTTAGATGAAAATTTTATATGGCACAGGTTTTTGCATCTAAACTCTTCAATTTTTTTGTTCCGTGTTTCTTCCTTAAAATGTATGAACTGCTAAATGATAGCAGGTATGTGTCATGTAAACAAAAAAGTCTAATCAGGGGCTAATCATTTTGCTCAATAATTTGATGGGTCAAATTACCATACATTTCCGATTTGCACTGATTCTGAGCACTGAGATCAAGTTAGATGTGAAAATGAATTTCTGATGTTGCAATAACCCCTAAAAAAAGCCATTCAGTAACCAAAATGCTTTAGTTATTATCAGAAAAGAAAAGAAAACCAGAGAGCATTGAGCTGAATACAGACACTCTTTTCCTTGTTAGTGATCACTCATTTATTGAACAGTGTTTGAATAAATTAGTCAAGTTTTTTTAAGACAGTCAGAGTTTCTGAATATATAAGCATTGAGTCACTGGAGTATCAATATTTAATAATTTTGTGAGATCAGATTGTCCTATTTCTAAGGATAATTTAAATTCTTGCAGATTAGGAATATCACAAGAGTGGGAGTCATGCCATGTTTGCAATCTTAAAAGTAAAAAAGATGTCAGGATTTTTGTCCACACTGAAAATTAAAGAAGAGAGAGTTGACCCAAAAAGGAAAATTACCACACTATTTGATCACACTCAAGTTGTTCTAAACATTTATGAATTTCTCTCTTCTGTTGAACAAAAAACAAGTTATTCTGAGGAAGGTTGCGAAAAAGCAGCCAATCACATCCAAAGTATGGAAGTCGATAAGTATATTTTCCTTTGTGTTCAACAGCATAAAGAAACTCAATTCGGTTTGGAACAAGTAGAGAGTGTTCTCTTTAAGAAAAGTTTCCTAAAAGGTTCTTTGGGGAACCAAAACATTGTTTTACAGCAGGGATGTCCAAACTCTGTCCTGGAGGGCTGGTGTTCTGGAGAGTTTAGCTCCAACCCTAATCAAACACACTTGAATCAGCTAATCAAGCTCCTAGATATACTAGAAATTTCCTGCCAGGCATGTTGAAGCAAGTTGGAGCTAAACTCAGCTGAACAGTGGCCCTCCAGAGTTTGGACACCCCTGTTCTACAGTATTGTGAAAACAAAATTAAACCTTTATTTTTAAGAGTGTATGTAGAAATTACTCAATTCTGTACATATTATTATTATTATTATCATCACATATTAATAAATGTTTCGATATACACAAATATACAAGAATAAGAACATTTTTCATATGAACATTTCCCTTTGAGTCAGTTCCTCCTAGCACATCTAAAAGGGTCTATATATGTAGTTCCTGGGATCGCTCAGCCACAACCCCACCACCAGCCAAATGGCTTAGTTTAGAAACCAAGTCCAAATACACAGTAACAAAGACCGACGTGGTGCGCTTTGTTACGTATGCAATGTATCCAGAAGCTTCTTCACGGATGGCCAGCCATGTACTGCTGGTACAGATTATGTGCACTCAGATACTGCGGCTGGGCCTGGATACTCGGCAGGCTGCGTGGTGGAATCGTGGCTGAGGGATACTGTCAGCAGAAGTATTCATTTGGCTGTCCCTCAATCTTGGCAGTGGACTCCGAGTCTAAGCTGGAGCGGGCTGACAGGAGTCTGTTGGACTCTTCAGCATTCAGTCTGGTAAGATATTCCCCCTCCAAGCCTTTGGCCTTGGTGCTAGGAGATAGAGTCTCAAAAGTCACATACGAGTCCTGAATGTCTTTAGAGTTCTTGCCCAGAAACTTCTTAATTTTCCTCTTAAGCGCCCCACAGCACACGATCACAGTCAGAGGCACAGCTATCACGCAGGCGACCGTGATTACTACTACATTAATGAGCTTTTGGGTTCCATTAGCGCTCGCTGCCGCATCTGTTGAGAAGATTACACACTGCTCCTTTTTGGGGATCAGCCCCTTGACGCACACACAGGCGATGTATTTGGTTTTTGGAACCAGTCCCTCAATGACGATCCGGTTGTTGCCGGGACTAACGTTAATTCTGCGCATATCTCTCTCCCCAAACACAGCGTAGAGGACGCTGAAGGCGGTGGTGTTTTTGGCGGTCGGAGCCCTCCAGTTCAGACACACAGTGTAGTCTGTATCACCAATCACTTTCACAGAGCGCACTACCCTGTCAGGGTCTTGTTGGAGCGAGGATGTGTTTGCGGCCAAGTTGCTCAGATTGGTTTCCAAGAAGCCATCTGGACTGGCTGTTTGGGTATTCATTCGACTGTTAGCAGCATTGTCGCTCTCCATTCCAGGATACGGGCCTGTGTAGCTCACTGTGCCACTGAGTGGTAGTCCATTTTTAGGTGTTGGGGAAACATAAGTGGCGATGTGTTTTTCTTGATATGCTGCTTTGACCATAGTGTTTGGCTTTTTGGACTTTAGTTTGGGTTTTGGATCCAGGGTTGGATTTTCCATTTTGGGTGCATCGTTTATGATTAAAGAAATCACAGCTTCTGCACTGCCTGCATAATTTGTGGCTTTGCAGATGTATTTTCCAGTGTCGCGATAGGATACGGCTGGTACACTTAAAATAGACCAAACAATTCCCTCCTTCGAATTCTCCAGTAGAACTGCAAAAAAAAAAAAAAGAAAAGAAAAGCAGAACACTTGAGTATGATTGCTGAAAATGCTGGATCTAATTAGTATCGTGTAATCACAGTCCATTGTTGTGCTTGCCAACTCACCTGTCCCGTTCAGTGGCTTCCCATCTGCCCTTCTCCAGGCCAGCTCGGGGATGGGAACCCCAACGGTTCCACATCGCAGCAAGACATTGTTTCCCACTGCACTTCTAACACGGGCCACAGCAGTGTGAACCCGAGGTCCTTGGCAGCGCCGGAGCTCAGCATCACTGAACAGAACTCCAGACAGACTCTCTGGATCAGCACACCTAAGCCTCGTGTCAATGAAAGCCACTGACAGACTGGGAGACTTCTGGAACTGGACAAGATCGTATAAACGACAGTCGCACAGCCAGGGGTTGTCATGAAGACCTGGAACAAAACAAATGATTAGTGACAAGAGGCAACTCAACAAAAGGTTAGTTCACCCAAAAAATACAGTTCTGTCAGCAATGACACACCCTCCGATGTTTCAAACATACACGCTTCTTTTATCTGTCGGGAACATGAGAAGATATTTTAAAGAATGTACACTTTAAAACATTTTTTGCTGCTTGTTGAAACTACTTATTTATAAAAAGCTGAATCAACACAATTCTTGAGGGTTTTTATGGGATAACGTAATTGTTTTAAATTCAATCAACTTAAATTTGTAAAAAATATTAAGTTAACTTAATCAATTTGTGGTGAGACAACATGAAGGAATTGTGTAGAACCCTGCAGTTTTTTTTACAGTGTTGATGATCTTGTTACCAACATTCTTTCAAAATATTCAGAATATTCAACAGAATTAAGAAACTCATAGAGGTTTTGAAGAAGTTGTGGGTGTGTAAATAGTGATAGAGTTTTATTTCATTTTATTTTATTGAGGGTGAAATATTACTTTAAGAATAACATAATAATATAAAATATTGTAAAAGCAAGCAAGTCTTGGAAATAATGTAGGCAATTAATCGCATCTGCTTGAGGTTTTTGTATAAAAGTAGAAATACTTTCTCAAACTGTAAACTTCTGTAAACTGTTTAACAACTTCTACTAAAAATAATAGTTTATTTTTAAGGTATCTTGATCCAAAGAAAATATCTTTGTTAAAACCACCAAGCACTTTGTGTTTTTTTAACTGGAATATGTAAAATTATAAATAAATAAATAAATAAAAAGGATCTGCTGAACAATTTCACTTACTATGCAAACTATGCAAATTATTTTTGATATATATTTAAAATGTTCTATACATTTGTTTGTTGGATGTATTTTTTTTTATAAAAAATATAATTCAAAAATAAAAAATGTTATATATAAAACCCCCAATGCGTTTAAAAAAGGAGACAAAAAAACATACCAAGAATCAATTTTGAACTTTCTGCTCCCAGGGTGGGTTTAATTGTCAACCAAGTGTTGAGAACTTCGGCTGGTACCGTCAGCAGATTATTGCTGGATAAATCCAGATAGGTTATGTTTTTCATGTAAAGAGCAGCTTCAGAAGGCAGCGAGGAGAGCTGATTGTTGTGGATATCAAGGAGCCTCAGACTCGGCATGTCCATCAGGGATTCCCACGGAAACGAAGAGAGCGAATTTCCATCCAGCCTTAGTTCCTCTAAACTGTATAGGCCGCGGAAACTGTCCGAGTTCAGAGAGGATAAAACGTTAAACGACATCCAGAGAAATTCTAAGTTTGAGAGGTAACTAAAAGCCTCGCTCGGGATCCTCTTGATGGCAGTCTTTTCGATGCGAAGTTTGGATGTGTCGCCTGGGAATGAGGCGGGCACCAGGGAAATCTCTGGATCATTGCAAATCACGCTCCTGCAAAACGCAATACAAACAAGAGGAAAGATTTATAAATCAGGGATTTAAAAGCACGCGCACTCGAAAACCAGTTACAAACGCTTTCAGCAATACTTAAACCACACTCAATATAAAATATATATAAGAGAATGATATCAATATATTGGCTATAAAATATAGGCTACATTTATTGAAATTTCTTCTAAATTATTACAATATTAAATAAAGGCATGTAATGTGTTAAATAGACTTTAGCTTATCCCAAACGAAATAAAACACAATGCCCTAACGAAAATAAATTATGGTTTTATTAGCAAAGTGATTAAAAAGTGATAACAAATAACAAGTTAATATTATATAATAACAAATATTGGCGTATTGATTACTATTTTCTTTTGGTTTTACAACAAAAGCCATCTGTACATGGTTAGTGTAAAACCACTTTTTGGTTAACATAGCTAACATAAAATGTGTATGTCTATATATATATATATATATATATATATATATATATATATATATATATATATATATATATATATATATATATGTTAATAACTATGTTAATAACTAATAACTGTTAATAACTAAATTTAAGGAAAATAAAGAAATATATTATACATATTTATATACAAAAAATGACTTTGTCGAAAAGAAAATTAAAGAATGAAATTGTATATAATTTAGTTATGCCACGTATACAATACATCCAGTATCTGAATCTATAAACGCATCAGTTCACTGCAATACAAGTGTGAAAATGCCTTGGACTTCCCACTAAATAAAGAAAAAAAGATCAATTTGAACACACACGAACCTGGCTCTTGATCCATCACTCAAGTTATGATAAAAGCAGCTGCACTGTGTAGGACAGGTGCTCCGAACAAGTGGAAATCCTCCAGATGCCAGTAGGAGACCCAAAAAGACAGTGAGAGACATTTCGCCACAAGTGTCAATACAACACCGCGGAACGTAGTTTTAATGAAGAACCATCCACTTGCAGTTATGGAAAAATAACCAGCATGTCATCGTCCCTCTGCTCCGATATCCCATAGTGATCTGACAGATACAAGTCCTGCAGATAAAAAGGACAGACGAGGATTAGCGCAAGCACGCGCGTTATTTTCATTCATTTGCGTGCGCAATCTTGCAATCTGATAGGCTACACAGAGATACAGCTGTTAATTAAAGGGAGGAAATGTTTGCGAATTGGTCATGATGTGTAATGCCCACCCCTCATCAAGCTCTATTTTAAGCCGCCCAACTGTCAGACAGTTAAATTATGGCTGTGTTTTTCTCTATCTGGATTGTGTAAGAGATTATGCTTTGAAAGCTGGTCTGTTCTTGTTGTATATCATTTATTGTCGCTACCAGTGTGTAAAATTTTGTTTTAGCTTAACAATGGCCAATGTTTATATAAACACTTTCATATTTATATGCTGAATGCACAAATTTTAATGGGACAAAGAGTGCTGCATTTATAAGAATGTTTATACTGCAAATAAAATGGCACAAAAGACAGATGATCTGTTATGACCCTTGTTGTGTGTAAAAGGTTTGACAAGCTGATGATAGCAGTTATTGCACTTTTGTTGATTTTGATTTTTTGTCAAGACTCCTGTTATTAACTCTCTATTCTATTTCAACTCTAAAAAAATACTTTCATTGTCTAACATCATTCATTTCTAATCATTTTTAAAGAAATTGTAACTTTATATCTTCTGTATTTTATAGTTGTAATATCAACTATGTATTTTTAAAGATTACTTTGATCTAACACTAACAATTCAGTTTACATTTGTGTTACTTGTTCTTAAAAAATATTAAATGTTAATAGATTGTTAATCGGTTCTTAATCTTGCTTATTGGCTTTATTTAAATTAATTAAGAATGAACAATACTTTGCACTTTTTAATCACAGTATTTATTAATGCATAATTAAAATTCACATTTGTGCTTGATAACATTAGCAAATACACAGTCAGATAACAGGAAATAACAATGAACATCTTTATTTTCACTAACGCTATCAAAGATATGTAAAATGTTTCGTTAAATGTTACATTTAATCTCCTAATCTAATTTCTGATTGAACATTACAATGTATTGCTTATGCACCTATTCACTCAACCGCCACTTTATAAGGTTCACCATAAAGTACAAAGTTGGACCCCTTTTGCCTTCAGAACTGCCTTAATCCTTTGTGGCAACAATTGGTACTGGAAATATTCCTCAGAGATTTTGGTCCATATTGACATGATAGCATCATGCAGTTGCTGCAGATTTGTCGGCTACACATCTACAGTATGATGCAAATCTCCCATTTCATCACATCCCAAAGGTGCTCAATTGGATTATGAACTGGTGATTGTGGAGGCCATTTGAGTACAGTGAACACATTGTCATGTTCAAGAAACCAGTCTGAGATGATTAGTGCTTTATGACATGGCACGTTATCCTGCTGGAAGTAGCCATCAGAAGATATGTACTCTGTGATCATAAAGAGGTGGACATGGTCAGCAACAATGCTCAGCAAGGCTGTGGCTTTGACATGATGCTCAATTGGTACTAATGGGCCCAAAGTGTGCTAAGGAAATATCCCCCACACCATTACACCACCACAAGCAGCCTGAACTGTAGATGCAATGCAGGATGGATCCATACTTTCATCTTGTTAATGCAAAATTCTGACCATACCACCGGAATGTTGCTGTTGTAGCCCATCTGCCTCAAGTTTCGATGTGTTGTGCGTTCAGATATGCTGTAGCTGCCGTCAGAAGCAATTCTTATATATTACACTCTAATTTTCTACACACCTCAGTTGTAACGAGTGGTTATTTGAGCTACTGTTGGCTTTCTATCAGCTCGAACTAGTCTGGCCATTCTCCTCTGACCGCTGGCATCAACATGGCATTTGCACACACAGAACTGCCACTCACTGGATATTTCCTTTTTCAGACCTTTCTTTGTAAGCCCTATTGATAGTTGTGTGTGAAAATCCCAGTAGATCAGCAGTTTCTGAGATACTCTGACCAGCCCGTCTGGCATCAACAACCATGCCAAGTTCAAAGTCACTTAAATCACCTTTCTTTCCCATTCTGATGCTCAGTTTGAACTGCAGCAGGTCGTCTTGACCATGTCTACACCCCTAAAAGCATTGAGTTGCTGCCATGTGAATGGCTGATTTGCATTAATGAGCAGTTGAACAGCTGTACCTAAAAAAAGTTGGTGGTGAGTGTAAAAAAGAATCCTCTACACATCATATTGTGCAAAATATCATTTTTAAAAGAACACTTTTATCAATAGATTTATTACTGATTTTATTGAAAATGCACAGAATAAAGTCTAATAAAGGCTGTCAGAGTATACTCAGAGTGTCTCTCAGACAGAGGATGTCTAACTTTGCACAGCTTGTTCAGTGGCGTTTCCAATGGGATTTTAAAAATATTTTCCTTCATGTAATCCTGTTAGGCCTTGACTTACAAGCAGCTTGTTCTTCCTATTAGTCTGCTGTTATGCAGGGTTGGTAAGTGCAACAATTCTTGCAACATAATCATATATATACTGCATCATAATTAACAACATTAACTAAACAAGTCAAAACAGTAAACAAGAAAAAGACAGACGCAGCAGTTAAACTTTGATAAATATTTTGTTCATGGAACATTTTGCATGTTTAATAAAACCATATGGTTTGTCTGTTATGGAGAATATTTTCCTTTAATTCTAGGCCAATGAGAGTTATTTTTGCCAGAAGCCTTTCTGTTTATCCGGCAACATTGGTCCTTGGCACCAGCATATCTGTTCTGATTAGTGCCAAGTTAAAAATGTAAGGCAGAATTTCCCAAGTATGTCACAAGCTTAACTCACTTAGTTGAAATTATTTTAATATTGTTTCTAGTGCTGGGCAAAGTTTAATCACAATCACATAAAAAATTGTTTGGTCCCTTTATTAATCTGGGGTCGTCACAGAGGAATAAATCGCCAACTTATCCAGCATATGTTTTACGCAGCGGATGCACTTCCAGCTGCAACCCATCACTGGGAATCACCCATACATTCTAATTCACACACACACACACACAACGGACAATTTCAGCAAACCTAATTCACCTATAGCGCATGTCTTTGGACTTGTGGGGAAAACAGAGCGTCCGGAGGAAACCCACATAAACGCGGGAAGAACATGCAAACTTCATACAGAAATGCAATTAACCCAGCGGAGGCTCCAACCAGCAACCTTCTAGCTGTGAAGCGACAGCATTACCTACTGCGCCACCACGTCACCTTTATATTCAGTAGCATTCTATAAATGAACACAAAGTCCCAAAGTCTACTAAGGTCATGATATTCTTAGTTTCTGCTCAAGAATGCAATGAAAGCTGCCGTTTGTGTATAGCTTATAAGCCACTTGAGCATTATTAGGTAATCTCAATAATATCTCCTTATTACAGTTTTCATTTCACATAAGAAAACTAATGCAGTTTGCTCTGTTGAAACCAATTCCTTTTAGAAGTTATGGAATAGAGGAGCTGTATGTAAGGAATATGATTTATAAATCATAAAATCACAGATTACAGAGTTCTAATTCTAATCTTTTACCTAATCAAACTATTTTGTATTGGATTTGATCCAAAAATCGGTGGTTTATACATATCCATAAAACAATTTTAAGAAATATTTTTTTGCTGATAATAAAAAAACAGATTTTACCAGAGATGGGTTGCGGCTGGAAGGGCATCCACTGTGTAAAAGCGGTTCATTCTGCTGTGGCAACCCTGGATTAATAAAGGGACTAAGCCGGAAAAAAAAATGAATCAATGAAAAAATGGAGAAACACCTTCAATTTCTTAAGTCATTGCTTAAGTTTATTTTAATTGATCCTAACAGTAGTATAAGAGCAGTATTTAAGTGTACTGTATATTATGATTTACATATTTTCTGAAGAACATTATAACAAATGTAACTGAGAGATTTGAAAAAGTAAACGCGTCAAACTTAGAGAACACTTTTTGATGTTATTGGGATTAATCTGTCACCTGGTGGTAAATCCGGCAAACCATATTTAACAGCTTTCCAGTTTTTACTGACTTTTTAGGATTTCTAGAACATTGCATTGCCAGCTCATTCAGAGGTCCCCAACATAAGTTGTCTACAAAAGAAAAATGCAGGATAAGGTAGAATAATACAGAGATTAATATTTGTTTGAATGGAACTGTTCTTCAGTTTAGCTCTGAGGAGAAAAAAATATATGTTTCTCAATATACAGATATTGCTGAGGATCATGTTGTGTGGACAGAGAACTGATCAAACGTTCACTTTTGAGATGAAGGCAATTTATTTGGGTATGCTGGGAAAGATTTTTTTTATCATCAAACTGAGGGAAAGACTGAAGGTGTGTAGAAGTCACTGTAAGATGCACTGTAAGTGTCATGAGTTTAGGATGTGTACTGCAGCAATAGTTATTATAAAGCTACACTTGACAACACATGGTTCTTTCCCTGTATCATTGTCTATTCAGTCGACAAATTTCATGCTGGATGAGCAAAACGGGTATAGCAGTTGCTTGAAGCTTAATACATTAAAATATTAAATGTCCTGTCCAGAGTCCTGAACTAAACCTAATTGAAAAGTCAAAAATATGGCTAAGACATCTACTGTCACTAAACTATAGAAGCTGATCAAGATCACAGCAGAGCAGTGTTACAAACTAGTGATGTCCTGTCAGAGACTAGTGATGTCTGTGAGAGACCAGTGATGTCCTGTGTGACAATAGTCATGTTTTGTGAGATTCTAGTCATGTCCTGTGTGAGACTAGTGATGTCTTGTGATACACTAGTGATGTCTTTTAAGATAGTAATGTCCTGGAGACACCAGTGATATCCTGTAAGATAGTAATGTCCTGTAAGATGCTTGTTATGTCCTGAGAGACTTGTGATGTCCTTTGAGAGACCTGTAATTTCTTGTGACGTCCTGTCAAAGACTAGTATCTTGTGGCCATGGATGTGGTCAAATCATTCAAAGCAAGAACCTGTGTACTTCATATTCAATGTTCAGAAATTGTAGCTGTAGTTGCTTTGGTTATTTTGTAAAACACTTATCCTTGCTAAATTGCTTTACATGTCAGTCAAAGATTTTTTTATGTGTTTATAAATATCTAAAGTTTGATTTCCACTGCATTGTATAGGCTGAGTGGAAGAATTGTGCTTAACCCTTTAAAAGTTCTGTCATTTCTTTTTAAGCATGTAAATGATATTCCTAATCCTATATTTCACAACTTCGTAATCTTCATACTGTGCTTGACTGGACAATGTGGGCCTTGTTTAGGTTTGCTGTATGGTACAATAAGCCTTACACTTTGGATTCCCAGTCCAAAACTATACATTTACATACAGTATACACAGCACACTGATGAATACATACAAATTACACATAAAAACACTTATTTACTAAACAGATTTGCAAGATAATAATAAAAGCAGGTTAGTGTATCAGTGTAACTCTGAAACTTGTTTATGATTTGGCTTCCACTCAGCTATGAATAACACAATCTGGAAACAAAGAGCCTTTTAATAGAACGGAATTTAAAAGCTATTGTCTAAAAGAATATTGCAAAGGTTTCTATTTTGATAACAGTTTAAGATTGTGACTACATACTGTTTCATACTATTACTACTCAAGACATTTTCTCAAAATATTTTGTCTGAATATCTATTTATTATTCATGTTTTTTTTCTAAACCGTTAACATCTCCAACTCCGAGAAGGAAGGAACATTCTCAGAATTGTTAATTCAAAGTTCAAAGTTATTTGAGAGTAATGTTCTCAGCATGTTTGGAAAAATCATTCATAAATTGTTCATGAAACAATGTAAATAGCACTTACTGTAGCCTTCTTTGGTGACAACTATAATAAAAATAAACAAAGTAGTAATATTTTAGTAGCCTAACTTATGTTTGTAGTAACTATTGTATTACCATAAAAACGTTAGTCGTGAAGCCATGGTTTATTTTGTAGCTTCTTTATTTTTATGGATTATTTTTAAGTTACTGACACTGCTTTTAAACCAGCTTCTATGATGTTACGATAAAAAACAATATGGTTAGATTTTATGAAAATGCTCTGGTTCACTGTTTTACTTTAAATCACATAAATGGTAAAATTGTGTTGCTGTTTTATTTATTATACCTTTCCGCTTTCCTGATAATGCATTTAAAACGAGGGTAATTTAGTTAGTTTTACAAAAAAAATATCAAAGTAAAACCATAGTTAATTTCATTTCAGAATGTATGCAAAGCATTTAAAAGTAACATTCCAATAATTCTGAAAGAATGTTTGCATCATAATGAAAGCAATATAAAAAGAGAACATTACTACGTTTTCTTAATTGTATTAATCATTAGTAAAGCGTTCCTAAAATATTTTTGTTGGCTGCTGACAGTGCCCACGTTTGTAATCTCAGCTATTTCATTCACTCATTCAGATGCAAACCGTCGGATGTTGCTGTATTAGTGTCAGGAGTGGCAGCTCGAGGACACCTGTTGTGCAGGCAGAGAGCAGAGCCGAACAGAGCTCGACATACTGGATTGGCACAGGCAGGCTGCACTGGTCCTCGTCCACCCCGGTCTTATTATCAGAGCGCTCAGAGACACAAAGGCTTGTTGTGTAACTGAATGAGCGCTTTACGGTCGCCTTGTGTAAATACGTATCAGGGGTCAGTGGTAGGAGTTGTTGTGATCATTAATACATTCTTGCGCGGATTGAAGCAGACAGAGGGGGCTTTACATAATTACGTTCATGCTTTTTCACGTGAAATGCTCCTTTAAAAGAAGGCTTCGATTGAGCACACCGAGGCACATCTCGCGCGCGAGCGAGCGGACTGTCATTCTTCACAGTTGGGTGGTAAAATTGTCTTTAATATGGTGACGTCGTATCCATTACCGGAGGGATTCTCCGAGTTCGATGTGTTTTCCCTCGGATCTTGTCTGCTCGTGGAAGGTAAGGATCATGTTCGGGTTAAAAACAAGAATTTTGGGTGGCAATCTTACTTTGTGGATGTGTGTATGCGATTCATTCGGGAACGATAGCAAAAGGTCTGCAAAAACAACACTGCTACGATTTAAACTGTTTACATTAAGACTTGACTTTTAAATGTTATGTTAATATTGGCTCTCTGCGTCTCAAGGATGTTCACGCGTTTTTTTTTTTTTTTTTTTGTCTCCCTGAAGGTCTCCTCGGATTTTTCCTGAACGCTGTCACCGTTATTGCTTTCCTTAAAATCAGAGAATTGCGGACCCCAAGTAATTTCCTCGTGTTCAGTCTGGCCATGGCAGATATGGGCATTTCAACGAACGCCACAGTCGCGGCATTCTCTAGCTTTCTGAGGTGAGCGCGCGCTTGTGTTGATGATGATGTTGTTGTTGTTGACGAAACCCCTAGAGGCGATGCTGCGTCACAGATGCTGGTGTGTAAATACAGCTGTGATGTAATGTTGCTAAAGGTGGTCATTTTTATGTTATAAGTGCAGCTGTTAGGTAAGAGGGGTAGTTGGAGATGCAGGATTTTTAAAATTCTCTATTTGATTAAATGACTTCTTATCATAATCTAGTCCAAACAGGGCCAATCAGACTAGAATACCTTTTTTGATAAGTAAACCAAGTCAGGCTAGTCTGAGACTTTTTAAAGTATTTTAAAACTGGATATATTTTAGAATAAAATCGTAGCCATTGTACACCATGGTTAATAAATATTCAAAGATTATTAATTGATTGATTCTGCAGTATTAAAGTATCATTTACGGCTCTCCAAATAATCGTTTTAAAGGATTAATTGGATAATTCAAAGAAAATCAAATCACAAAGAAGCTTTCAAGAAGCATCAATTACAATAGAGCGCTTTAATTGTTTAATTAGGTTTTTAGCTGGTAGACCATTAAAAAAATGTTTACCTAATCACTATTTATGTTGCTAACTAATCACTATTGGACCTAAAACCAGCCATTAGACAAATTTTATATATAAACATATTTTTTAAATAATATATGCAAGAATGTGAACAAATGTTTTATATCAGCATGGCCTAATGTCATTTAGAAAAAAAGCTTTGTGTATTATTATTATTATTTAATTTTTTAATGCACGTGAGCAACATCAAATTTAAAGACTTTGGTGAATTTTTGCATTTGTAATACTTCTCTTTCTGAAACGCCAGATACTGGCCTTATGGATCAGATGGATGCCAGACCCATGGCTTCCAAGGCTTTATGACTGCTCTTGCCAGCATACACTTTATTGCAGCCATTGCTTGGGACAGATACCACCAGTACTGCACAAGTGAGTAACAGACCCGAGAACATTAGCAAAACAAAAGATGAGATGCCTCTCACCATGGGACCATCAATTCAATGGGATATTTAACAGTGTGTAATCTAGTTTTGCCTGAGACCACCCATTTTGCAAATAACACCTGCTGATCACATAATTTTCAATTAAAAACATGCTTTTCAGAGAATGATCGTTTCAAATTGGTATGTCAAGCAAAAAACCAAGGTCTAACCAGTAAACCAAATTTTAAAGTAATGCTTGTTACATACTATCACTGAAAAGTTTAGGATTCGTTAATTAAATGTAAATTTTGAGTACATTTTATGATAAAATGTGTTTCTGCATATACAATTTCTACAATTATAATTTAAAGGATCATGGGTCCAGAAGAACAATGCTTAAAAACCCAGCTTTATATATTCTATATGGGGACTTCAAGTTCAAAAACTTCTAAGTGCCATGTGAAATTTTCTTCTAAAATAAGAAATTATTTGCACACTAACATATGATGCAGTAGCACTTCGGGTGTCCCAAGTTCAAATCCCGGCTCGAGGACATTTCCCGTCCCTAACCTTTTCTCCAACTTTGCTTTCTGTCTGAAATACTGTCCTATCCACTTAATAAAAACGCAAAAAGGCCAAAAATAAATCTTCAAAAATTTAATTAATTAATTAATTAATTAATTTAAAAAATTGAAGTAGCTAAACATAAACATTGGAGTTTAAGAAACAAGTATAATTTTAGACGAAAATGTCAGACAGCACTTTTTTTTTTTTGGCATCTGACCTCTTTATATTTTTTAAATGTATGGAAAAACATCTTGCTGCCCACAGGCATTTGAATGCTACATTGTGCAAAAAACTGGTATTTAAAAAATTAAACAAAATAGCTTTAGACATTCTGTTGCCTTTAACTGACTCTATGTGACTGCTAGATTAGAGTTTTTGAATAAGTTGACAGGCAAATGTTTTGTACAGTATCCCACCACTAATGACATCTAGTTTACATAGTTGTAAAAATTTTTGTAGTCAACAGATTGTCTAAAGTGGAGCATCAAAATAGTTTTGTGTCATTAAATACAACTTGTGGTCACCTTACATCTTTAGGGACAAAGCTGCAGTGGAGCAGTGCCATCACCCTGGTTCTCTTCACCTGGCTCTTCACTGCCTTCTGGGCTGCCATGCCTCTGTTTGGTTGGGGAGAGTATGACTATGAGCCTCTGAGGACCTGCTGCACACTGGACTATAGCAAGGGTGACAGGTAAGATGCACTGCTGATTAGAACATTTATAATTCCCATACTGTTGTATGATTAGAGCATACAATATTGCCTACCATCACCTGTGTTAGTTTCCTGGGGTAAAAAGTGCTACTTTAATTAACACAAATTGCTCATAAATCTAAAAGGGGAACAAATACACAAACTAAATTAATGAAAAGTTCCAATTCACAGCATTAAATTTTGAACTGGACACTTCTGAATTCAGAATTAAAATGTTTTTGCAGCGCTGAACATGATAACCAATCACATGCATTTTTATATAGTAACACTTTACAATAAGCTTGTATTAGCTAATACTAGTTCAGGTACTTACTAACATGAACAAGCAATGAACAATACATTTATTACAGTATTTATTCATGTTTGTAACCTTAGTTAATGAAAATGATGTTATTCATTGTTAGTTCATGTTACCTACAGTGCATTAATATTAACAAGCATAGGTTTGGATTTTAATAATGCATTAGTAAATGTTAAATTACAATTAAGAAATACTGTACAAATATTGTTCAATATTAGTTAAGTTAATATTGTGACCATTTTTATTTACATAATTTACTGACAGTCAATCACAAAAAAACAAAACATTTGTTATTTTGATCAAAAGCACAAGAAATTTTTCGGAATGACAACACTGTAAACCCTAAAAAGTTGAGACTACTCAAATGTTTTGTGGAAAGTGATTCCCTCAGTTCATTTGAGTAATGGGAAAGTGACAATGCAATTAATTGAGTTGACTAAATGTGGTCTCTTCATTGAATTAACTTAAATGTTTAATTACAGACAACTTAAATGTTTAAGTACAGATAACTTAAAATGGCTCAAAGACTAATCTTCCCAATTTTTCAGTTTACTTACTACCAAGGCCATATATATCGAAGTTGATATTTAGCCTCACCATATTGGTGTTTCGTAACATCTTAATTTTACGAGGTGGGTCATTAGCCCAACACACAACCCGGAGGACCAGGACATAAACCCATACACTACAGATAATCTAGCTTACCCAATTCACCTATAGCACATGTCTTTGGACTTATGGGGGAAACCAGAGCACCTGGAGGAAACCCACATGGACACAGGGAGAACATGCAAACTCCACACAGAAATGACAACTGACAGAGCCGGGACTTAAACCAGCAACCTTCTTGCTTTGAGGCGACAGCACTACCCACTTTGTCGCCCCTGCGTGTATATCAGTTAAGAAAAATTTATAAATAAGCATTATATGTACTTATTGATAATTTAACTTTTCTCTTTCGTTAGATGGGTTCAGCTAGTGCCTCTGTCCTGCTGTGCTTCAGCAAAATTTACCATCACAAGCAAAATGACCACCTTGTGTCATATAACATATATCGACCAATCAGCATGGTTGTCAAGGAAGAATTTCAAACACAACCAATCATTTTAAACAGAGGCATAGTAAATCATTTAAAGAAATACAAATGTTGAGTATTAATAAATATATATAATATAAATACTAATTAAAATATTTTTTGCTGCCTAATGAGTAAGTTAAACATACGTATTTAAGTTTTGATGCCAAAACTTGGTATTTTAAGTAAGTTTATACGTTTAAGTTATATTAACCTAACATCTTTAGTAATGACAACAGCAGGGTTTACAGTGAACATTCGGGACAACATTATTAGAATTTTGAAAAAATGTTTCAAGGCCTTATCAAATTAAAACAAATATGAACCCTTTACTCAAACACATATCTATTTATTTCAGAGAAACTGAGAATATTCGTATTGGTGTCCGTTTTTTTATAGCTGCAATTTCTTGGTTATTAGTTGTATTATGTTGTTGCATTATCATCAATACAACTTCAAGAGCAGCAATTCACCAATTACTCTAATAATATTGAGTACTTGTTTTTAAAATGTCTGTTTCATATTTACATTGTTTAGGTTATTGTGTAAATGCACACATTCTACTTCTAAACAGCATTAAACAGGTTGTTTTTAAGATTTACCATTTTACAGTTACAGTATTCCTGAGATTTACAGTAGACCTTACAGTTATACATATTACTGTATAACTGAGATAAACTGAGGCAAATTACAGTACATACAGTACGAGATATAAGATACAACACAAATAATCTAATTTAACAAATTGCCCTAGGAAATCCATTTCAGGCAGCATACTGTGTAGTACTTTAAACCCATTTACAGTCCAATATGAACTCAGAGCTTCTTTACAAAGCAAGAGGGTCACAAGGAGATCATGTGACTCTCACTTTGAATCTGTTCACTTTGAGATAAGACCCTCAAAGGCCTATAATGTAATTTTTTCTGTCCTTTTAATCAGGAACTACGTATCTTACTTGATCCCCATGTCCATTTTCAACATGGGCATCCAGGTGTTTGTGGTGCTGTCTTCCTATCAGTCCATTGATAAGAAATTCAAGAAGACCGGCCAGGCCAAGGTAAAGTATCCTCAGTGCAATATAAAGTTTGACATGTGAGACCAAAGGGTGCATGAAAAGAAGCGAGTATACATTTCCCCTCAAATTGCATAAGAACATTATTCAGGGTGACTTAGTAGGTCAAAGAAACGTTTTGCCTGGGAGCACAAAGGCATCTCTGCAACAGCTACTGAACTCTTCTTCAGGACAGAACTATTACATAATACTTAAAAACTGGATGCATGTGAATACCAAAGTGAGCAAAAAAAAGAGATTTTCTTAATTAAAACATATGCTGTTCAAATATTTGTGTTTACTGTAATAAAGCTGAACTATTAAAATATTAAAGAAAAACTAAAAATAATTTAGAAGTGTTGCCGTTGCTAAAAATTTTAATTAATGTATGCTGAGGCATTAAAGTTACAGTAAATGTTTACAATAAGGTGTCATTAATAGCCTTTATATGAACATATATAATTATTAACAAAATATAAATATTATTATAAACTAATTACTAATTAATATAAACGAATTAATATTTGTTGTTAATTATTGTTAACAATAAGGTTACATTTGTTTATATTAGCAAATGTATTAACTAATTTAAACAAAAAATGAGCAATCTTTTTTTGCAATAATACCATTTTTTATGTTGGTATATATTCAATTTTTTGTATATGCTTTATGTACTGCTAGTAATTCTTAAAAAATGATTTTAAAAAAACTAAATCTAATGAAAATAAATAAAGCGCTTACCAAACTTTGTAAAAATTGATGAAAAAAAATTGAAGTAATAATACAATCAGACTGTTACAGTTAGTTTAAACAACTATTGCCTGTAAATAGATGGTCATTAAATTAATGCTATGATCAATAGCTATATTGAGTCTTCATAGCCAGTTTAGTTTAATCAATACTCGTATAATCAATACTAATAAACTAATTTTGTGAGTTTTGTGTTCACTTTTTGTATAGGATGCTTGCCCAATGACATAGTAGATGTTTAATGGTGTATAAGTTGCATGCAAGTTAAATCTGCAGCATGTGACTCAGAAATCTGTCTAAATCTCCTGTGTGCTGTGTGATGTGTGTGTGTGTGTGTGTGTGTGTGTGTGTGTGTGTGTGTGTGTAGTTCAACTGTGGTACTCCTCTGAAGACCATGCTGTTCTGCTGGGGTCCCTATGGAATCCTGGCTTTCTACGCCGCAGTGGAGAACGCAACGCTTGTCTCTCCGAAACTAAGGATGGTAAGAAAATCATAAGGCATCAAAATGTGTCATTTACTCAACCTCATGTCTCATTTGAAGAACAAAACAAAATTCCTATAATAAATGGGATCCAAACAAAACAGTAATCAACTTACTTTATAAATAAATTAATGATTTTAAAATATCTTCTTTAGTACTCCACAGAAGAAAGTCATAGATTAGAATGCCCATAAAGGCACTGACATATGTACACACAGCAAAGTGCTTTTTCATTCTTTACCTTTGGAGGTTTGAAATTACTTATCAGCATAAAAAATAAATAAATAAATAAATAAAAAATTAAACAAATGTGAAAAAGATGCTACATGCTTTTCTCACAATGAGAATATTCATTCATTCATTTTCTTTTCAGCTTAGTCCCTTTATTATTCTGGAGTTGCCACAGTGGAATGAACCGCCAACTTATTTAGCATATGTTTTTTACGCAGCGGATGCCCTTCTAGCTGCAACCCATCATTGGGAAACACAATAAAAATATAATTCAATTCAATTCTCCTTTATTTCTATAGCGCTTTTACAATGTAGATTGTGTCAAATCTGCTTTACATAGAAGATTATAGTTAATTAAAACCGTGTCAGTCCAGTTTTTAGAGCTTAAGTTCAGCTCAGTTTAGCACAGTTCATTTTGTTTTAATAAAGCATCTTAAATTACAGCAAAATATCTAGCCGTATCGATGTGTTTATCTCAGGTAGAATGACATTTTAGTTTTTACTATAAAGCAGCTCCACGATGTTTGTTTTGGTCTGGACGGATTAAACAGGAATTTAACCAATGAATATTTCTGTATCAAAGAAGGCGGACCCACCTTTTACACAATTGCCAATGACCAATAGGTATTAAAAGTAGTTTACCATTAATTCTAAAGAACATTAAAATAATCATTTTGACTGAATTTATGCCACATCAGTTTATTTTTTGATTTAGCTTAATGTCAGATCACTTCAGACAGTAAGCCTTAAAGACTTTGGGGAATAATCCTTTTCTGGGCAACCAGGTGAGACATAGGCCAACTGATTTGGGAAAATGGATCCAGATACAAATTTGTAGCCCTTTCTCAATAGGAAATTAGCTGAGCAACATTGCTCTGCAGAATATTGCTTATAGCATTGCTCAAAAAGATGTCTCTCTTAAACAATTTTATAACCTATACACTACTATTTCTTTAGAAACTATTGCTACTTTTTAAAAAAAGTTTATGTTTTTATTCATGAAGTCTTAAGATTATTACATTGTAAAAAAATGTAATTAAATAAATAACATTCTTTAATTTTCTATTGACCAAAATAAAAAATATTAAACTGTAGATATTTAATTTTTTATTTATTACTGATAAAAGCAAATCAGTATGCAGTCTAAAATGTTTGGTAAAAACATTCAGCCTGTTTATATATATATATATATATATATATATATATATATATATATATATATATATATATATATATATATATATATATATATATATATATTATTTTTTATTTTTTTTTTTAACCCAACAATTGGGTTTGCTACTATTTAAGTGAATTTTGGATCAAAGAACCCTAGCTTTTTGTTTTATTTTTTAAGAGTGATTGAATGATTTCTAAAGAATCATGTGACACTAAAGACTGAAGTAAATGCTAAAAATTCAGCTTTGCTATCATATTAATAAATTATGTGTTAAAATATATTAATTAAAAAAACACTATATTTTAACCTAATAATAATGTGTAATATGATCACAGTTAGAGCAGCATGGTGGCTAAGTGGTTAGCACTGTAGCATCGCAGTCAGAAGGTCACTGGTTCAAATCTGGGCTGGACCAGTTGCCATTTCTGTGCGGAGTTTGCATGTTCTCCCTGTGCTCGTGTGGGTTTCCTCCAGGTACCCCACAGTCCAAAGACATGCTCTATAGGTGAATTGAATAAACTAAATTGTCCGTAGTGTGTGTGTAAATAAGTGTGTATGGTTGTTTCCCAGTACTGGGTTGCAGCTTGAAGGGCATTCACTGCTTAAAACATATGCTGGAAAAATTGGAGGTTCATTCTGCTGCAGCGACCCCTGATTAATAAAGGGAATAAGCCGAAGGAAATTGAATGAATGATCACAGTTTTTGGGGATTTTTAAATAAATAAATCCATAGATGTGAGGTTTCACAAACTAATTTCGAGAGGAGAACGTAATATGATGGACCGCAGCTGGTCCCTATCAGTAACCGATAGCTAGCCAATCAGATTATTCCAAATTTAAAATAAATATCCAGCCTAACTTTACTCCCTACCTTCGTTTTGGAAGACCCAGCGTCACAGTGGCTCAGTGGCTAGCTTTTGTTATTTGAGTTTGCATGTTCTCCTCATGTTCGTGTGGGTTTCCTCTGGGTACTCCAGTTTCCGCCTATACAGTCTAAAGACATGTGACACAAGTTAATTAAATAAATAATAACAGTTACAAAAACTTAATACTGAACTTCTCTAAGTGTGTATGCACTAGTGTGGTTGGCGGTTTATTCCTTTAGAGCAGCCTTATTAATCAATGAATAGGCCAAATGAATCAAGGTGCTCTCAAGAACTACCTGATCTCATATCCCTCTTAATAATGTTCATTGAACAGGTGGGAGCCCTGAGCTCATTTATCTCCGAGCTCAGGGTTCTCTTCTGGGACAGCATGCCAAATCTGCTAACAGCATCAAGCATTATCTAAGTGTGAACTCTTGAAAGTAATGTTAACAAACTGACAAGCAATATTTCTGCCAGACAGTTACAGGTTATTAAATACCATATATATATATATATATATATATATATATAATGATTCTAATCTGAATGCATTTTTACAGATTGCACCCATTTTGGCCAAAACCTCACCTACTTTCAACGTCTTTGTTTACGCCCTTGGAAATGAGAACTACAGGGGGGGAATCTGGCAGCTGCTGACCGGCCAAAAGATTGAGAGTCCTGCTATTGAGAACAAGTCCAAATAAACTAAACACATGAAAATAACCCCCAATGTCCTGTAGTTTCTAACAGGTATGACACACGCTTGTTGGCTTTGTGTGCTTATCTCATCCTCGCTGTATTCTTGTGGCGTGTTCGTGGACATGAGCGTAAAGTCTGTTTCTGGTGGTTTGGGTCAGTTATATTTGGTGATGGAGATTTCAACATATCTGATATTTTAACAAAACACTTGAGAATGGAATGGGGACCAATTTAAACTGCCTCATAGCAAAGCACATGAAAGCACAAGTGTTAAACTGTTACTGTAAATGTGGTTTTGAACAGGAGCACAATCAGGAATCATGTAACCTATTTTTAGGTGGCTTTTTAATGTTCAGATATGTTTTTTGTTTGAATGTAGGTGTTGTTACATTGTACATCAAAACTGCCTTTTTAATGTCCTAAACTTTTACCACTCCCCAGAATGCACGTTTTGGCACAATATCTACATCAAGCTTATGAGACAGAATTAGACAAGCACAAATTTCTAATCCCAGAAACAACTGCGCTTTTCACAAAAACACATTCCTCAGTGCACAAGATTAGTCAAAAGGAAAAGATTATTCACGAGACTCACTGCAATTGCAAATGTTCAGACTGCTGATCCCCCTTTCCCTTCTGCATATTCTGTCTCAATTTCAAAATGATTTATTTTGGCATCTGAAGAAAAACTAAATCGCTAAATCTTGCCAAATCAGGAGGTTTTTTGCACTGCAAGGAAACATTTTGTCAGACAAAACCCTGTTTCATGTAGTAACGTCTAAATTCACCAGTGTTGAATAATTCAAGTTTTACTTTTTATAGTTTCACAAATATTTATGGTTTCACAAAGTGTGTATATTGTCATAAAAGTCATTTTATGGGTATAAAATAATTACTGAATATATGTAAATTCAATCAGGAGGCTGACTATAACAAGCAAATGTAGCATCTTTTTAATAGTAGTAATTGTGCAAACTAAGTCTGCATATTTAATTACGTTACAATTTTGCCAAAAATGTTGTAACCAACAATGTAACAAATAGGATCCTTTACACATATTGGTACTGAAGAACAATTATATATACTTTTCTATATATATATATATATATATATATATATATATATATATATATATATATATATATACAATAATACTTGTTTAAAAGGATAGTTCACCAAAAAATTACATTTCTGTCATCATTTCTTACCCCTTCTTGGGTTTCTTTCTTCTGTTGAAGGCAATGCTTACCGGTTTTCAGCTTTAATCACAATAGCCGCATTTTCACTGTCAGGCCAGTGTGAGCCAGGGCTTTTGTCAAGGCCAATAGCCTGGGAGCTTGAGCAATGAGGCTGAAATGATGTCACGTTTCCACTATCGGGCCAATAGCTCGCAGCACTGCACGCAAACCTCGCCAAATTAAACGTTAGAACGCCACCTACATCAAACGTCACACAAGCTGCCCAGTTTAGCAGGAAGAAGAATGTCAAATCAGATTCATGCAGATAAAGCACACCATCGCATCATCATGAAGTGAAGTTTATTATAAACTAATCTCGAGAGGATCAAGTGCTTATGATTGACTGCTGCTGGTCCTGCATTAGCTAACGGATGATTCTTAACTCATTAACTCATAACCAGAGTTCCTAACGTCAGTCATCTTCTGTTTGAAGAATCCCCCCTTCCACCACTACTCCTTTCTTTTCCTCGATAGGGTGGCACGGTGGCCCAGTGGTTAGCATTGTTGCCACACAGCAAGAACATCACTGGTCCAAGTCTCTTAACAGGCCAGTCAACGTTTCTGTTTACACGTTCTCCCGTGCTCATGTGGGTTTCCCCCGGGTTCTCTGTTCTTCTCCCACAGTCCAAAAACTTGCGACATAGGTATATTGATCAAACTAAATAACACCATAGACAAGCTCTTTATCAGAAGTATATCTCTCTGTAGCAGTTCATAATTTGTCATTAGCCATAAATAGCAGGGAGGTTCTCGAGACCTACCTGAGCTCAAACTCCCCTCTCGCCTTACAAATAAGAGGGAGCCCCAGGCTTGAGGATTTTATGAGCTCAGGGCTTTCTCCTGGGACAGCAAATGTTCTTTGTAATCAACCAAGCTAAGTGTGAACTCTTGAAACGCTTATAATGGAGACAACCAAATCACACAGATTACATGTTACTGTACAGCAATACATTAAATGCCTATACGCATAGGCCTACCTACTTTCATTCGTTTACTCGCCGACTGAATGTTGGCATCATGCAATGAGTGGCCTCGGCCCCAAATGAGGGATGACCCAGCGCACCATCCATTATATAAAACCTCAGAATTTCTCTGCAAATAACTCGGTATAAAACGTATTTAATAACATCCTTGTTTCAGTAGACGCCATTAAACATTCAGCCCAAACGCTCCGGAGAGAACTAAAACAAATTATTTTTCCCCCCTAGACTATATGACACTTAATAGGTAATTTCCTTTTATTTAGGAGAATAATTTAAGGATGTTGCATATTATTCGGTTATCTTAAGGAAACTGTTAAGTGTTTCAGGACATAAGAGCAAGTAATGAATGTAGGCAGTATATTTATGTTCAACAGAAGAAAGAAACACATAAAAGTTTGATAAACTTGAGGGTGAGTAAATAGTGTGTACATTTCTATTGTTGTGTGAACTATCAACTTCACAAATGCACATGAAATGCTGACATAACGAAAAGTGGTGCATTTGCAGATCAAATAGTAAATGGAAAAGGTGTAAATGATTCTGAAACGCTTTCACAATATGCTATTAAAACAAGGAGGCGTATAGTTTTCTGTTTTGATGAAATGCTGAAGGACAAATGATGGATAAGCACAGTTCCCCTTCGGGGGGAACTTCAGCACTATAAGTGGATTTGATTGTAAAATCCACGCATTGGGAGGTTCGGTTCAGAAGCTACTCGTCTGAAAGAGTATTGAACGGGCCAATTAAGAATGAATTGGCAGCGCAAGCCTGCGCAGGTGAGCGGCATAAGCAATCAACTGAGTATATAAGCTCACCTGGCGCCAGCAGACGCTATCCTTTTCGCTTCAGAGACTTTCTGATCGAGTCGATGAGGGTTCCTCCTGCTGTGACCAGCGATTCTGAGCGAACGAGAGCATTCTCCCGGTCCAGAGTGTGTACACGCAGTGGCAGACGGTCGAGCTGGGTTTCTCCCTTGCCTGGCGTTCTTTGGGTCCGGTCCTCCAGAGCGGTGCGTATAAAGTTGCAAACTTCACAGAAAGAGCAACACAGTCGTGCAGCACGTCCTTATCAGGACGGCGCTCCGACTGTGCGTTTCTGGATGCGGTGGTTTCCTGTCCTCGGATGATGGGCGCGGGCACTGCGTTACATGTCTGGGGGTCCAGCATGTTAATGCGCTGCTCGCGGGCAGTTCATGTCGTCATTGCGATGCCATGACTGTTGCGCAAGATCGCGGTTAGCCTTTGCAAAAGGGCGAACCACCCCAGTTGTCCCCTGCTCTGCAGCGGGCACTCGGACAGATCTGAGGGTTTCAGCGAGAGATAATCCGTCGCCCACGGGCCCGCGGACCTCCCGCTCCTCTAAGCGCTCCATCCAAGCTTCGGGCGGGGGAAGCGATCCGTCTAACAAATGGTAGCCCTTACGCCCGATGACACCGGAGACCAGATGTCCACCGCGGCATCGGAGGGTGGGCTTTCATTGTCCGATGATGATCCGGACCCGCTCGCCCCCTTCGGGCTGGTGAGCGCTGTCACTACGGATCCTGAAACGGACATGTTAGCCGTGCTTTCCCAGGCTGCTTCGGCCCTGGGTTGGAGATGGTTTATCCCCCAGCTCCGCGGCCGGACCGACTAGAGGGGCGTTCCCTTCTTCCCGGAGGTGCACAGTAGGCTCACGCGGTCTTGTAAAGCACTTTTTTCTGCTCGTGCTGCGTGTTCCTCCACCCTAACCACTCTTGACGGTGAAACAGCCAGGGGGTATGTGGCGATTCCTCAGGTTGAGTGCGTGATGGCGGTAAATCCGCGCGGCGCCTCTTCTTGGCGGGGTCCGCCTCGTCTCCCATCCAAAGCCTGTAAGTTATCTACCTCCCTCGGAGCTAGAGCTTACATAGCTGCGGGCCAGGCTGCTTCCGCCTTGCATGCGATAGCCACCTACCAGCGCTACCAAGCGCAGGCGCTGGCTGAGCTGCACGAGGGTGGGTCCAACCCAGGCTTACGAGCTTCGCACCGCCGCCGACTTAGCTCTTCGGACTACTGAGTCTGCTGCGTGTGCGTGGGGGAGGACGATGTCCACATTAGTGGTCCAGGAGCGCCACCCCTGGCTGATATGCGCAAAGTCGACAAAGTCCGCTTTCTTGACTTCCCCATATCCCCAGCCAGGTTCGGCGACACTGTCTGTGAATTCACCCAGGAATTCAAGGCGGTGAGAGAGCAGTTGGTGGGTGATGTCTTATCGGCGGTCCGTAGCCCGCTCCGCCCGCCGTGCCATTCATACCTGCTCCTCGCCGAAGGCGCCCGCCTACGAGAGCTGCTCCGCCCCCGCACACGCCTCTGGCGAAGCGAGCGCGTCGGGCACCTCGGAAGCAGGCAGCCCCCCTGCCCAGAACGCCGCTAAGTCCGGCAACGGACCGCGAAGCGCCCCTGGGACAGGCCATCTGGAGAAGAGGGAACTTGCTCTTTCCCCGCTGGAGGGCGGGGCCCCATTTCCAACGGCACTTTTTACTGCCATGAAAACATTATGAAAGAGCACTTTTCACTTCCCCAGATGTGACAGCCCGAAATCTGCCAGTCTGGGACGCTATGCTTTCTAGCTTGCAGATTCGGTGCGTTTCGCCAGTGGCTCACGAGCGCTGGGAGGACGGTCTCCTTTCTCCCACCCCTCGAGCCTCCCCTCCGGAGCTCGGGTTTGGAGTGAGAGCAAATATCTCACCTCCAGCTTTTCCGTGGGACCCGCGAGCTTCCCGGATCAGCACACCCACTCCGCGCTGCCCCACTGCTGGTACGTCAGCGATTGTAGCGATGAG